TAAAACTCTTTAACAGTTAACAGGTGCGGTCAAAGTAAATGCACTTCTGGTTTCAAAAACTTTTTGATAACTGTTAATATACTATGAGAAAGAACGAAAGATAAGGTTCAATGTTTCTGTATAATACGAATTATTTAAATATCAATGTTTCTTGGTGAATTTGTGCACGTTTATGTAGATACATCATTAAGAATACTAACATGGCCAGTTATCCTTGATAGTGAGATCACAAATCAAGGCAGAAATAGAAAGGTCGTTACAACAAATAGTTTTGGGTACCATAAATGCCATAAAAAGTTGTCGTAAATTCGCGCACAACGCACAAACAGCGCCATTCAAACAGATCTAGGACGGTAAACAAATTAGTTTCACGAATAATGTGGTTTGTAATTCTACTGAAACTGGTATCTATTGTTATACAGCGATCCAAGTAAATAATGCGAAGCAAATTATAACAAACAATGTATTTCACGTAGTAATTCCTTAGGTGTACGTAACACCAAAAAAGCTGTTATAATTATTTTGCCACTCTAATTGGAAAATTTGTTCTCGGTTCTACGACAATTTTTGGAAAACTTTGTGGACGTTCCGGGGACAACGCTGGTGCCCTTATTTTTTATACGACACTAGCTGTGTCAGCGACTTCATCCGCGAGAATCGTTGTTTTGGGCATCTAAATTCGTTTTTGCAAAACCTTTATAAACTTAAGCTGTTACACAAAGGTCGGTCGTTCGTCCGTCATTCTTGCAAGATGGACATATATCGTTGCGGACTTTTTTTAGATTATTTAAAGAGGAATCATTCTCCCATGCATATTTTTTGCGTATCTTGAACAGTTTTTACAGTGTACGCCTCGAAAACCCATAATGATGAATAATTTTCCCATCTTTTGTCACATCTCTCCCTGTTTCTCCGCTCCTATTAGTCACAGGGCGATGTTTTAACCTCGATAAATGCTCTAACCAAAACTTTTTTTTTTATTCGTACTCGTAATTCCTGCGATTAGCGCGCTCAAACAAATAAACGAACTCATCAGTTTTATATATTAGTATAGATAGTAATGGTTTTAACTTTTGATAGAAGAAGTTTTATGAAATAAATGACATTGTTAACTATTCAAGCCTTTCACAAAACAAACAACTAACGTTTAGCTTGAATATACTTATTTAAATGTGTACTACTCGCGTAAACTACAGACAGTATTGAATATACTATAAAAATTTGACTAAAGCAATATACAAATAATTCTTCATATAGTTTAAGTAATGCCACGTGTGGCACGTACACGAAAACTGTTTTTTTCATGCGCTATGGACTTTTAAATTATAATCTGTGGTATTACCTTAGTATCCCAATACCAGCGCTAACATTAATCACACACGTACAATAAAGCATATTGACAGCCTTAATAGCGAACGCGTGACAATGTCGTCTGGATTCCCGAGAGGAAACTTGAAACTAGACCACATTTTCCGGAAATGCAACCGCCCCAACCCGCGGTATTACTCTACGCGGCTTTACGTGCATGATATTACTCGAAAATCAAGCTACATTTACGACTTTTCATGTAGGTTTTTCAGCGTCATTGAGAACGAGCTCAAAATTTAACTGCATTTTTATACATGCTCCAGAGCTTTGCGCGCGTATTGCTGTAACACATACAATTTTCGTGGACGAAATATTCGTAAAGGGATTCCAATGAGATATAAAATATTCAAGGATTGTACTTTCAGATTTGAAAATTACCGCCGTGAAGTGGGCATGTTCCAATCCAATCATATTCAGAATATAGATGCTACACATACCTACACAAAATGCAATTCATTTCATAAGGAACGTTCTTCAAGTAAATCTAAACTTATTAAAAATCCTAACTTAATTACAGTAAAATTGTCGCCCTTTTATGTCATATAAGGATAGACAAGCTTGGAGTTGAACTGATTGAAGGTGTGGAACTACCATATTTCACCAAACGAGGTTTTACATAGCTATTACTAAGTACTATTTATAAAGACCTCCTTCATCTGTCGATTGCGGTTCGTAATCCGTGCGGAATTCGACATTGCTGCCCATGACCCAATTTTCCTAACACATGACATGGTTGTACAAAAATTTATAAAATTTTGAAATATATCAGACCTGGTAGCGCTCGATCCTATGACCGTTAGTTATTAGTCCTGGGCTATCATAAAAAAGTAGTTTATTTGTCATAGATGGTTACAAAATATTATCATTAGAGCTGCGGTAACACGAAACAGTAAATTTGCGTTCACTAGCAACCTTTGTTACCCAATTAGGTTACAATCATAATTAGCATTGTTAAAAGTGTGTTTATATTTTAAAACTAGGCAATTATTATAACTAGACTTTTTCAGAGGGTAGGCAGGTATTGTATAGAATTAAAAGAATAACAGTTACCCAAATTTTCGCTTGAGTTAACCAAATCGCTATTGTACGATACAAAATGTTGGGCTCGAGAACATTCATGCAATGAGAATGTCTGAGAGTAGGAGGAACCGAAATACATCATATAATTATATGTTTAACTATTTTTTACCAGCATGTAACTGCTACTTCTTTTTTAGACCCTTCACAGTCAAATATATTATTACTTGTTCTTTATAAAAGAGGAGGACAGGCTATGTCCTCCACATATATAACATCTAAACAATATTTGCAGATCTATTTTTGGCTTTGAATATACAGAAATCTACAACACGATTAAACTTCACGACTTTCATTTGTGGATGGTGGTTCGTAAACCAAATGGAGCTTAGATTTTCCTGCTATTAAATTTCCGGGCGAAGATATTTTAAATAATAAATTGATTAGAAAAATGTTGGATCCGGTAGGGATCAAACCCACGACGCGTTGGTTAAAATAGCCCCAAGATTATTAGTATTTTTTTAATATGTCTAAGAACGTATGTTGTGTCCATAATACACATTATCTACAGAAAAGAACATTCAAAACAGCCGTACATCGTTAAGATGAGTTCCTTTTATAGAAGTTGTATTCAGCCGTATCGCTCATTTTCGCGGAATCACTAAATTATTTAGAACAGACTGGGCCTAAATCTCATCAATGCGAGATTTTTCGCCAAAGAGAATATTAAGTAAGTATTTATGCTCTTGGGAAAGCCTTTATGGAGAGTTCTCTTAACAACTGTTTAAAGCTCATTTTCTAAGATACTGACTGTACGAGTACTTAAATATTTTGTACACAATTCTTGTCTTACCTACATTCTTTATAGAGGTAACAGAAAATTACCTCTGTATACTTTTTAAATAATACAATTTAAGGCTTATTGCAAATCAGATCGTACAGATCGTAGGAATATGAAATCTGGTAGGTTTTATAGCTTTTCTTGGGAAAAGCTGTGTAGAAGTTTTCATCTAATCGTTCGCACATAATCAAGTTTTCGCCTCGAACTTAAGTGAACCCGTTTAATTATAAATCCCAAAGCTTCCGTTGAGAGGTGGCTAATTAGTGCAGTAAACGGTATTTTATTCGACTCTTGATGATGACACTATTTTGAAAAGATTTGCTTTCATATTGAGAAAATGAGCTAATCTTTAGATAGAGATTTGAATGTATGCGCAACATTTTATAATTTTTGTAAGAGCAATAATACTAGTAAGAGTTTTGAATATTTTTTTATATACTTTTTTCTATGTAACCTAGTGATCATGAACTTAATGTTAATTTAAGCGGAGCGCGGAACAAACAAAGCTGAAACCAATATATATTGAATGATAATCTTTATTATTCATAAAATAAAATTTGAGTTCACTGACCAGACACCTCTATAATTTTTATGGCACGTAAAGTGTGACACACTTAGGGGAGTTTACACGAATATGCTAAAACGTGGTCTATGTCTTCTTCCGTATTTTAATGTTGGATATGAATAATTAATCTTACCTTCCGTGATTTCAAAACACGCAGAGTATATTGTAGGTAAATCGAAAATAAAATCGATTTAATTATTTCGAGTACATATTAAATTCTAACAATTTTATCACCGTTTTTTCTTTCAGCAAGCAAAATATTGGTTTTTGACTGCGTATTTTATATCTTTTTCAGCAAGAGATAAACAGCTTGTTAGTGGCACTTTAATATCATAAGAAAATTCACTTGAAAAGATTAAATAAATATAATATTTTCTACAAACACTAAAATTTTTATGTTTAAGAGACAGATTAAAATTGCTTTTATTATTATTTAATTAAACATATCGAGATCAACCCAATTTTAGTTGTTACAACGTAATAAATAATTTAGTCACAAATTATATGTGAATGTATTCCAAAAATAATTCGACGCCTACATACAAAAGGAACGAAATAAAAATATCGAAATTAAGGGTACAAAAGCGAACAAAGGAGGTTTTGTGCTGTTATTTCGAGTGTATAGGCAATATTAATTGCCACAGACAAAATAATTATATAAGTGTCGTAATCGTTTAGTGCGGAAAGTCAGCTAGTAGGCAAAAAGAGGTGTAGAGATCGCGCTGTATTATGTATATAGCTTACCATTTGTCATTTTATCGGGAGGTTTTTAGGCCGAGTCGCGAGCGACGGCTCACGCGAGCAGACTGTTGCTCGTGGCCGGGCGAAGGGTGCGCGCGCATCCGTGGTGCTGGGATACTTATCCCCCCCGCACCTGGCTTCTTCAATCAGATCGCTGCTCTCCTACGCTACGTACTCCAATACGACATGCCTTTGTCTCAACATCTCAGCTTAACGCGGATAATTAGGACAACTCGGACTTACTCCAGCTTCGAGATAATGTTTCCTAAAGCTATGCCATTCTATCTTTGACGCTGGTATTCCGGGTAGTTTTTTTTTTTACTAATAGAACAGATTTTTATTTATTATATATATTACACGAGATGTACGATAATAGTTAATAATCCTAGTTAAAAATAACATGAAGATAAAAATATTAAAAACACGCAATAGTGATATAAAATCGCAATTAACGCTCTAAAAGTATTTTCACATAGTAAGGCTTGAAAACTGCGTTTTCATGTCCAAAAGAATTTTCTTGACTTTAGCTCGTGTAATATTATTGCACAGTTCTTGATTTCGTATATCAATCCGGACTCGATTATTTTTCATAATATCAAACCCAATAAAATCATTATCGACTAATTCTATATTGGCGTAAACTTCTAAGTACGGTGGGAAAAAATCGTCCCGTTGTCGCTTTATTATATTCAAAGCTTTATAGATTCCTTCGAATACGCCACAATTCGTTACGCCTCGCCCTATCCCACAGGACGTCTTGAATGATCTCGGCATTTCACTTGAAATCACTTTGAATCTCTCACCATCGACTCGATTCAGTGATATGTATTGTACGGATCTAGACCAAGAATCGTCGATTAGGCAAAACATGTCGAAATGTGAAACAATAGTGTTCCATGTAGCAAAGTCGAATCCCAAGACATCCGAGAAATACTTTGGTTGCCAAGTAGTGAATTCTGTGCGGTAGGAATCATTACCCATAAATGTACCATCGCTAACGGTCGCCATCGAGAGCATGTTGCATTGTGGTAAAGATGTGGCCACTTTTCTCATATATATTGCCATATATAAAAAGTCTTGAAGTAAATATTGGTCGTCCTCCATAAAAAATACTAGCTCAGCATCTCTCCCGGACACCGCGGTGAGACTCTCAAAGACCATATTCGCAGTCCACCACCAGTGGTTTTTCTTTTTCAGCGTTTTCTAAAAAACTATCAACACACGTGCCTAAACAATAAATGCTATAAACAGATTTTTGATACGAAGCAAAATGGTCGGGGGACAGTTGTGATGAAAAAGGATAAAATATTTGTAGAAAGCGACAAAAATCTATTTTTTCTATTAGCCTATTTATATTTTCATCGTAAATTGAATGAGAAAAAATAAGTAAAGCTTCTTGAATGCCTCTTACATCGCTTAAAGACGCAATAAGGTACTTTAAATTATCTGAATATTCATTAACAAGTATCACTATAATATAAGTATTATTAAAATCATCCCCAAACTCTCTTATATTATGTATAATCTCAAGTTCATTATGTCTTTTAATTAATCCTTGCAAAATCTGTAAGTCCAAATACTGAGTTTCGCTTTGTTCGAACAAAATAAACCTGGTCGCTGAACTGGGAATTTCAGATAATAATATTTCCTTGTGATATTGTATTCCGAGGTACATAAGTAAAATCATGACAATGAAGATGAAGCAAAATATGTTTCGGAGAAAACAACTTATTTTTTTGCGTAACATTATCGAGAAAAACAATATGTTCTTATAAGAAAAATGTAATACATTTGATATAATATTATTTTTGTAAAAGTGACGTTTACAATTTTAATATAGTAACTTGACTTGTCATAGATTATTTAACTAACTTGATTAGAGAGCCATAGAACTAATCTGTGGAGTTAATAAATGAAATTTTGTTATTTTAAAAAACAATGTATAATATCGTATTCTTTTATACATAAATATTCAATTTATTAAGTAACACAAGGCCCTGATACTAGCGACATAGCGACAATAAACTAACAAGTCAACAGCGTCACCTACAAAAGCTTTATACAAAATAATAATTTTATATCGTACGTTTTTGTCTTAGAACATTTAAACTTCCATCGAAATAGTAGTAGAAATCGTAGTTGGCAAGTCCGGTTTAATTTGGAAAGCCCGCCTTTTCCTTGTACTACCAACACACACGTACTACACCATTGCCAACATTACTTTTTGTGAATCAAATGCATTTCTTCTTATTAAAATAATGTAGAGCACTCAAATTTGTGGCTTTTCCATTTATCTGTAATTGAAAAATAAACAAATTATTATTTTGTTTTTTAGTAAAGACAAAATTGATGTAATGATTTCAATGTTAAAATATAAAGTGTGTCAACGAATTGCTTCCGTTCTACAAAAATTGCCGCTAGGCGGCGCTTGCTGTTCAACGTCATTCGAGTGTAATGTGTATCTTTAGGTCCCTTCTGTTTTGAAACCCAAGCAAGCTTCGGGAAATTGTCTTGTGCACATTATAAAGTTTTAGTAGTGTACCTAGTGAAATCGTTTTAAATAAAAGAAGATGGAGAAAAGAATTGCTCTGGAATTACGAGGAAGAAATCCATCACAGGTAAATGAAATCTGCATCTTTTTATTGGAATGTTTTGTCGATACATATTTCCTTGATCACGTACGTTTAAGCCTTCGTGTATTTTGAATGGATTAGAATGCAATCATATTTAAATGACATTAAAATGAAATAAATCATTTATTTGTATTTCCAAGATGTGGCGTTCTTGTTTATAGGCAGCCGTGTTGCTGCGTTACGTCCACTCATATCCACGTTACATTTCAGCACATATTCCTCATTATAGTTATTAATAACGCTTTATTATTGTAAAAAACTATTCCACCTTTACCGAGGATACCGTTAGCTTTCTATGAAATTTTTACTTTGCTTAATTTATGTATATTTTGAGGTTAAGTGATAAAACACCGTTTCAATGAGGAATCAAGTTTACGAACTCTTCTTATCGCTTTAATATTGTAATAGATGTTCATTAAATGAATTAAGGTCGATTCACGTGTTATTTAAGTAAAATAAGAGTTTGATTGGTTCAAAGTGTACTAGCATGAAATCAAATTGAGTATAAAAATACTATATTGGTTTGACGTCGTTTCCATTGTATCTTAACTTATAAAAGACCTTTCGATTAATAGATAACGTTAGCATATTGTCTTATTTCGGGAAATTATGCATCTTGGCATATGTATCAAATAATGATACCAATTAGCTATAAAAATTTACCTATACTGTTAGATTTCAACTGCCTACAATAAATTGCGACTCGACATAATTTCGCGCCCTTTCACTTATCCCAATCAATAAATTTCATCTATCGATCAACGTAAATTAAATAAGGGAAGCGATTTTATTTCGTACTTAAATGCAATTGGCATTTCCTTATAGTAACTATAAGTTATGTATGCTATAATTTGTTTCTCTCTAATGTCGCACGCCTTACCAAAACAGCGGCCATATTTATTGCGTCGCGATGATTCGTGTCATCCGCCATTGCATGAATAAAAACTATCATATTCTATCCGTACGTACTTTTACACGAGTCGTAACCATTTTGTTGAAATTGGTACCATTATCACATTTGTTTTATTTCCTAAGGATTACACTCATTCGCCATATATTTAAAACTACGACGAAAGGAACTTGTGACAACTTCGAACTTGCACCATTTTGACGTTTTGCCGTGTAGTTTTCGCATACCATGCCAGTTACATTCCTTATTTATTTTAAAGTTGGCTTATCATTTTCTAATGCAACCCAAATACTGAAATAAAATCATATTTCTTTTCTTCGTACAGATTGCATTTATATTTATTAATTTTAACGGTGTTAAGTCATAACCTACTTGAGTCTCGAATATAATATTCCTGACTCATGACGTATTTTCGCTATAGATATAATATAGGTACTGGTTATTATAATAAGTTTGCTGCTTATGGTAACATTTTATTTGTATACAGATTAAAATGAGTTACAATAATAAAAAATTAATAGCATAGTAATTTTACTTAAAAATTTAAGCAGTTTAAAAAATAATAATTATACAGATACATCTCTTATTAAAATATTATTTGTACCAAGTTTTCATTTAACTTTACAGATAAAAGAGCTAAATTTGGACAACTGCAGGAGCACGGCAATTGTGGGTCTCACAGATGAATACATAAATCTGGAAATTCTAAGCTTAAACAATGCAGGACTTACAAGTCTTAAGGGGTTTCCAACCCTCCCAAAACTCAGGAAGCTGGAGCTCTCTGACAATAGAATTTCAAATGGGCTTAATTTTCTAAATGGTTGCAAAAAACTTACACATCTCAATCTCTCTGGAAATAAGATAACAACCATTGAGACCCTCAAACCTTTGGAGGAGTTTGAGAATTTAAAGAATCTGGATCTTTTCAACAATGATGTTACCAATGTTGAAGATTACAGGAACAGGGTGTTTGCTTTGCACCCATCCTTGAAATACTTAGATGGGTAAGTTAATCCTTACAAAAACTTAATAAAAAGGCTCGATAAAATATATGATATACTTACTACGATACAATAGTGTGTACCATCAATACCCTAATGTGAGAGGTACATTAAATTTGAATGCATACAACATTAATTGAGTATAAAATTACAGATTTGACAAAGAGGACCGTGAAGCAGATGACAGCAGTGCTGAAGAGGAAGATGAAATGAATGGCAATAATGACAGTGAAGAGGAAGGTACGAAATAAAATTTATATACATATTTTGAATGAAGAAAGGAAGGAATATAAATTTAAGCAAATACTTTTATTATATCAATAAGATATCTCTTGAGGTATACAGGGGTCATTAGTAAAAGTTTTAACAAATGAAAACAATATTCTAAATGTAGTTTTTCTCCAAAGATTGCAGACTTAAGTCAATGAATTGTGTATTTTATGCTAAATTACAGATCTGGACATTGACTTGGGTCCACTTGTAATAGATGATGATGCTTTAACAATGAGACCACCAGAAATATCACCATCTTTCCTTGTATCATTATATACTGTGTATGGGCTTCTCTTCCATATGGGCAATCTATTCAAAAGTAAGCGCCAAATCTGATGTATAAAGATGCTTTCAGCTATCATCTCATTGGTGCATTGTCATATTCCCATGTGTATTGGGAAAGTGTAGGCTATAAAAATTAAAATAATGAAAAGATTTACAAAGTAGAGAAGCACTGTGTTCTCATGTAATCATTTGTTATAGATTCAGACATTGATGATGAAGATGACGATTTATCTCTAAGTGCTGTTTATAATACAAAGTTAGGTGAGTGCTTAATGCATTGAGAATAAAATCTCTTATAATATTTTGTTCTATTTATATAGGTGTTATATTTTTGTATCTGTATGGAATTATTTTAACAATTTCAGAGGAGGAAAGTTCTGAAGGTTCCCTCTACGAAGGTAGTGGGGTGGAAGAGGAAGAAGAAGAGGAGGAAGACGAAGATGGCGATGGAGAAAATGATACTGACAAACAACCCAACTCCAAAGCACAAGGTAGGCTCTTACTTACGAAGTCTCTAAAAGTGTAATTTAAAATCTTAGTTATATATTAAGTTGTATAAGTAATTTGATTTGTAATAACTCTTTCTAAAGGACACGTATGATGCAAATTAATTTCTTCAAAATTGATATAACCACTACACTGTAGAGAGAGATTTGATTTGTAAATTAAATATTTGCAGCCGGCAAGGAGAACTCTCACGGTGAGCCTGAGGAGAGCACCCGAGGCAAGAAACGGAAACATGAGGATGACGATGAGAATTGATCTTGCTTTTTGCCTTAAGCGGAGTCATCTTACTAGTTCGTAAGTGTACAGAGCTCCGATACATCGGACAATAAACCTTGACGCTAACCGATCGCGGACGATAAAGAGAATGTGCCCTATATATTTATTTCGTCTGTTATCGTACATATTGATATAAATGTAAACGTCTGTTGTTGCAAGTCTTTTTTATAAAAAATCTTTTAGATCTAAAATTATTTGGAAACCCTCATTTGAACAACCACATGGCGATGAAAGCTCTTCATCGAAATATGGCTGTGCCGCTGAAATTATTGTTTGTTAATTTTTATAATAAATTATCAAAATAGACTTTTGTGAATACAGTAGAGGTTTTTGTTGCTAGTTTTATTTGTAATTGCACAAAGTAAAAGCCTTTTTTTGTAGGAATGTTAGACATTTGATATCCCTTTCGAGTACAATTATCTTTTATTTAGCCTAAATTACTGAGGTGAGGTTTATACTTGTATACAATGCAACCACAGAGATCATAGAACTTTTTGAAGGAGTCTACTTGTATAAATCTAACATATTTCGGTTCAAATATCTGACAATTTGGAATATTCTTTGCAAAGATTTAATTTGGATTTAATTGGGACTGATTTGTTTTTACTATTGACATTTCTATGTGAGCTTTGTAACATCTAATAAACTTTTTTTTGTTGTTTGTTAAACATTAAGATTAGTTGCTAGAAATTGTCGTTTTATTACGTCACACGATTTTAAGATTTTTTTAACCACCTTGGTACATTCCTTCCTCTCTATGTATAAAAAAAACGTATAATGTTTTTCGTTTTCCTATGTATCAAAGTTAAGACCCCTTCGTTTGCCCCTCCATCCCCCCCTAAAGCGTGACGTAATAAACGACCTCTAATAGAATGAATAAAATTGTAGATAGAGAAAATATCATATTACTGTTTTATTCATTCTATTAATAAGGTACATTTTCGTTGTCTTTGTGACTATATCTTTCTCATATCGACCGTGTTCGGGTAGACCTCCGACGTGAGTCGCGGTACATTGTAGTTGTCATTCGTGAGATTGGTCATCCCGTGAGACTCACATTAGTCTTGTTACCGAAGTTGTGGCAGTTTGACAGTTGGAATATTTTATCATCATTAGGGCTGTTGCGTGGTACCTATTTAGAGTTTGTTGTCCGACAAGTTGTTGTTCCGATTGAATTGTTTTTTTTTCTCTTATCGACATTTAATTTTAGTCTTATAATTGAATGGATGTGTTTAGAATAGCTCTCGAAATTTAATCAGTCTGCAATTTGAATGTTACAATTAGAATTAAGTAAAACATGAGTAAAGTTACATTATAGAGCCCTCATTCCTTTTACGACTTAATTCAGATGTGGGGTATTCCGCCTGTGTATTGTAAATTACCTTAGATTGTGTCAGCATGATTTCTATAAAATTATTATTATTATCAATTGATGTTTTATTATTTCTATTAATTTTGAACGATATATCCAAAACTGTCTTTCGCGAATAGTAAAATATAACGTTTGTCAATTAAGTAGATGATTGGCAAAGAGATGGAGATAAGTTTTTCTACATTTATAATAGTAAAATGTGGTACATATTTATTATACAAAAATGAAGGCGAAATACATCTATGAATCCATTATATCAAAACCCAGAACTGTTTGTGAGCAGATAATGTGAAGCAAACAGATTTGAAGTTACGAAATCTCACTAATGATAACGGACGCTCATCAGTTTTAATAAAATAACCAACGGGCGTAGTAAATAAAACAAATATTTAGACCAAATTGTCGAACATCTGATGAGTTCAGAGGATATTTTTCTACACTATTTTTTAAATATTGAAAGAGCGATTTATGCACTTAAGTATTAATATCAATGATAATTTATGAAGAGTTTGGTTAATGCGTCACGGTGATAGTGCCAGATATGTTGAAGAGAATTTTAGTTAATAATTTTATTGTATTATGTAAGTCATTAAGTTTAAGTAATTTACAACTTGGCCTGTTGATATATATTATATAATCCTATTAAGACTTTATTTCTGGGATTGTAAAATAAAAGGTGAAAATAATATCCATGGTTTCATTGAAAACGCAACTTTTATATCTATGTATTTTGTTCTAGAAATTGTTGCAACAAAATGCTATCTATGGGAATTATAAGATTCTCGCTGCCGTCGAGGGTTCGTTTGATTCTGACTAATTTATGGTCTAAAAATTCGGTGAGCTGCGCTCTTAATGCTAGTTCCGAACTGACGAGGAACTGTTCACGTGACTTAGAATACAGGTCCTTGAATGGTAATCCTGAAAGTTAGAAGAATATCATTATTTTGTGGCTAAAACAATATAGCTGGAATAAAAATTGATCTTAATTGGTATGTAAAAGATTAGCTGAACTGTTAAAAAGTGTTTCTACAGTGTGAAATTACAACAAGAGAGTTCATGTTTTATTTAATGTATATTTTTGTAGTTGACATTGATTATGACAGTAAATTAAATTAATAAGAGACAGTGAGTTAAGAAATATTTAAAAGCCAATATACCTTGATAGTGTGATTGTTTCTGATTTTCCAGCTGATATTCGATGATGGCGTTAAATATTCCCCTGGCGTTCGTTGTGAGAGATTGATACACACTCTTCAGTGAAGATAGCTGTAAGGCACCACTTCTCTGGGTCATTAGAGAGTTCTCATATGACGTTTCATCTGTGTATGGCAGGAATGTGGTGACATCCCACCAGCTGAAGTTGAATTTGCTCAATTTTGAATGGTCCCATACTAAAAATATAGTTATAGTTTTTGATCATCAAAGTAGGCTATTTCTATTGTTTATAGATTGTATAATGTATACTAAAGTATTTAGCATTTGATCCAAACAATGGATTTGAACTCAAAGGTTTGCGAGTTTCTGCTTGAGGGCTGGGTGAAAAAGAGCAAAAAAACAATGTTATATTCTATGTTAAAACATGTTTTTTAAAGTTTAGAGTGGATAATTTGCTTACATAATGGAGCATTGATATGATCAATTGATGCTATAGTGTGGACATTTTTCAACTGGGAAATACTTGCTAACACCGACTGCGCCTTGCTATTCCGTAACATAGTTCCATCCATATTATGTATTATTAGGAACAAGTCAGTTTCGCTATCTCTCAATTGGTTATCTATTAGAGTTACAATGTCACTCATATTTGTGGGTAGTTGAGAATTTCCTAATAGATCAATGACAATTGCTTCTAAGACACTCTTGATTGTTAAACTTGGAAAGTACCCATTAATCACTACACAAGGCACATTTTGCAGCTTTTCCTGTTGAAATTTATGTAAAACAGACCTTTTTGAACCTATACCGTAAACAATTATATTGAAATTTTCACTAAGGACATAGAGCCACCGGTCGAATAGCTGTGCATAACTTTGAATTAGATCTGCAATTTTCATCCCATGTTCTTTGGATATGTGGACATCTGCTTCTTTCATACTTTCATTTAAATTCATGTTTTTCAATCTTGCCAAAGTATGATCTGAGGTGGTTATCTGTTGAAAAAAAATCATACAAAGGGGAGTAGTAGTAATGCGTAAGTAAACATATACTTAAACCCTTACAGGACCATAAGATAGCCGAGCCTAAATATGCAAATACAACCCAATCATTTAGAAATTTTGGGTCTAAATGTCACTAGAAAAATATAGCAGGGTGTATAGATTTCCTATAATTTCATACATTTCATTTAGACATTCTAGAAAAGTAATGACTCATTGATAACAAGTTTTATAGAACATATTTCCCTTGAAAGGATTAATAACAATAAATACCTTTTTGCTAGAGTTCATCATAAAATAATTATCTGGTGTAACAATGTATTCAGAATCCTTCAGTTTCATTCTTGTGTTTCTACTTCTTACTGTTGGGGTGGGTTGTGTAACAGCAGTTTCAACCTCGTCTTCACTCGATGATGAAACATTACTCTGTAATGGATATAAGATATGTTAAGTGGGCTTTAGTATTATTGAGATATAAAACCCATTACTCATGACAGATTTAAGCATGTGGGGTTCTGGAATAGTATACTATGGAGACATGCAAATTGGTCTGTTTTGATAGGGAACAGTATACCAATAGCTTGCAAATATATTAAATGCAGTCTGGTCATCACAATACAGGATTGCCTACAAAATATCAAATTTTCTAGATGTTGCGCTGATAGTAATAATATATTTTTACCTCTTCATCGCTTTTATCTGGTACAAAATCACTGCTGCTTCCAGAAAAGTCACTATCTCCACTTTCACTGTCAACTTCTTTTATTATTCCTGCAATTGGACAAGACATTGCTACTTTATTTTATACTAAGTAATATTGACCCTTGGAAATTATGCTTGCAAGCAATATAGCTGTTTTCTAGGCCATCAGTTAAATAATACTGTGTTAGCAAAAGCTTATATATAAAGTTATAATTACTATTCATTTGTAGTGTAATTCAACAAATAGTTTTTACTTCTTTTAAATATAGCTCAAAATAAAACCTGAAGGAAATGGACGCAGAAAATGGGTTGTCCCATTGCACCAACATGAGAAAGAAATCGGTTTACTCTTTTTTTTTAAATATATTACATTGGCCATTAAGCTTACTTATATATGTGACAATAAGATTTGATTAGAAGAATCTTACTCTTCTTTAATAAATTATTAACTTGCTTAGGAGTAGCCTCAACTTTGCTTAGTAAATGTATATTTCTCTTGGGCGTCTTAGGACTGTTTAACACGACTGGTGATCCAATGGCTTCCTTTACTTTATTGTGAAGATCCAGTTTTGTATGACGTGACTTGAACTTGAAAATATCTTGCCCTTCCACATCGTCACTACCGAATAGTGCTGGAAATAACTGTATAATGTAGGTACATGATTCAAATTTGAATATGAATCTTAAATATTTATTAGTATTACCTTTTGGTTTTGGAACAGATTCTGTAACATCAAAATCTTCATCTGAGCTATCATAGGCAACGGTTTTTCGTTTCCTTGGTGACAGTTCCAAAAACTCACCATACCGTTTTGGTTTGTGTCTTTGCCTCGCATTCCTTCTTGGAGTATTTTCGAAATTTACAACTTCTTGACTGTCTGTAGAACAATGTCTTAATTTTAGAAGGAATAGGATATTTTAAGGATTAATAAAAATAAAATAGAAACCTCCATTTAAGCACAGTTTACATATGTTAGAACTTTCTTACCATCACTTTCAACTGCACAATTGAATCGTGGTTGGCTAGACATATTGCATTTAAGAAATTGTGTTCTAATAAATTAATTCTATCATAACTTTATAAAGATATTATTTCTTTGTGAGACATCAATTAATAATAATTAAATAAAAATAATCTATTCACCAGATGTAAGCAATGTAAAACACGCGCCAAAACAAACTTTGACACTAGTAGTTTGTAAATGCCAACTGTCAATCGGTTTTCTTTTCAAATGACTTATATACCACAGATAGCTGTTTTTTTTTGTCTTGAAACATAGACTTTAAGTTATGTCACAATTACATGAGCTATATTCAATAACTAGCTGTGCCAGCGACTTCGTCCTCGAGTAGTATCTTTATAAACTTAAGCTGTTACCCACGACGTCGATCACGTCCCTTCCCGTCGTTCTTGCAAGTTAATCTTAAAAGGGGAATAATTCTTTTATTCACTTTTTTTAGGTACCTTGAGCCGATTTCGCAGCGTACGCATCGGAAACCCACAGAGATGAAAAATTTCCCGCTGTATCTTCGCTTCTATTAGTCTCAGCGCAATGCCAATTTTATAAACTTTAGCAGGCTACAAAAGGCTAAGGCAAAGGCTATAAAATTGGCATTGCGAGGAAAGCCTCGATAAATAATCTAACCTAAACAAAGATAAATTTTTAGTTCGAACCTGTAGTTCCTGCGATTAGCTTGTACTTCATATATTAGTATTAAGGTTCAAAATGTTTAAATTTTTGCATAATTTAAAACCTCAGAATGTTGATCCTATTTTTTAATAGTTATTCTTAAAGCTGAGACCGGATTTTCTTCATTATGTTTTACATCCACATTCTAGTTTCACTAATCAGAACTATTCTTTTCTATGGTAAAATAAAAAACTCCATTTTAATATTACATCGTTTCATTTATTCTCAACTTATTGACAATTTCGAAAATCACAGTTATTACTTCTGACATTTGTTTCGTAACTATCATATTACATGACAACAGCTGCCAGCTATTTATGGATAGTGGGTACAAAATGGTATAATAAACTTTATTGGCCACAGTATTTTACTTACATATTGGCTTGTAATCCTATTATTTATAATTGGTACAATCTTCCTTCATTTACAAACGACATGTACATTTCCTTCGATAGGCAATGTTTGTTACGTAAATAGGAATAAGAATGATAAACTTTTAAAAAATAGTTTTTTCATTAATGAGCGGAAGTGAGCATAAATGAAGTGTTTCATAAATATGACTTGGTAAGACGAGAATTGTTACAAACAAACAAACCAACGAAGAGATACCAATACAATTTCATTATAAGACAAATTCGCAATTTCAAACAAAAAGCTTGTAGTTTTAATTAATTTAAATATTATTTAAACACTTACAAATGAAAATCACATTGTGTCATTGGAATAACACCAACAAACTCAGACAAATAAAATGGTGTTGTCTGTTATTACCTTAAAATTTAGTCCTTAGTAATATTACAATGGTGGGATAATAGATCATCTATATACAACACCAACAATTTCATAGACTTATTACAATCACGCGAATCACCTAAAACTCCTAACCCGTGCAACAGGGCATTGTACACTACCATTATACCAAACAATATTGTACAAAACGATGTTTCACTTTATTGCATTCAAATATCACACTACTTCAAGTATGACAAAAAGTGCTACTTTGAAACGTTTCTAACAATAATTCATATAAAATACCGCTTTAGTGATAGTTGATGACCGAGTTCTATACAAGCTCAAATATTTCGTTTATAGCCAATACGAGAGATATTTAATCATTTTTATGACGTTAGACTGTTTTGAATATAATAAAGTTTACATTGATACAAGCAATAATTTACATAAAAAAAACTTAATAATGAGAGAACGTTCACATAGAAACGACATACACAAAAATAGTTTAAATCCAAGCCTACCTCGAGTCTACAACGCGCAAAAAGCGTCCAGCATTATCGTACACATTAATCAAAATGGCGGCGCGGGGCCGCGTGAAAAATAAACACATTAGGAGCGAAAATCGTCTTGAGATCAATCAGAGTGAACGGGAATCCACAGATTCACAACACACATTTCATACGAACACAACCACCGGCCAATCGCAGTTACACGTCAATACGCTCGCCGAGTACAAAACTAAATCTACAGGATGTCCTCTGGCCAAATAAGCGCAGGGGTTGTTTGTCTCCTCAACTCCCGTGCATCAATTCCAAATTCTTCGAGACGATTGAGTTTCAACTAGCAAGAGTCCATTGAAAGAGGTTCCGGCCTCGTGACAACTCTCTCCACTTTTATGCTGACTTCTGGACTTCGGGAACCCGTCACGCAAAACGAGGAAACTCAAAGTAGTAATATTAAAATCGATACGAAAATATCATTTATGTGGGCTTTTTAGTAGACGCTTGGTAGAATAAAAACAGTTTAGTCAAGAGTAAAACGTATTGAGGTTTGTTTTGCGATTTCGAGTCCGAAGTTCAGATATCCTATCCAGGGGTGATTCTGGAACCACGGAGATGTTTCGAATCAAACCAGCGAATTATTCTGGGCTATCGCTCTTTATATAAATACGCTCGAATCGAGATGTTTCCGCAGAATTCAGAACCACTCTGCAGAGGCGCAATTCTCAAATTAGATATACGTCGACTTATCGTTAGTTTCATACAAATCATAACTTGAGTCTTATCGGCTTAAATTTCTCTTAGTTGAGAATTACCCCCACTTTGAGATTGTCAGGGGTATCCAACATTTTGGGATGTCAGCGTGGTGTTTCAGAACTAGCCGGCGTAGAATTCGAATATAGCGCCGTTGGGCGTATCTTTGGTATAGAGGCGGGTGATGTGTTGCTGGGGGCACTAGGCTTGCTTCACCCGTTTCCGAGGGGGGCCGATCGGCGGGATCTGCTGTTGCTGCGTGGCGAGGGCGCGGAACGCCTCCGCTATGAGGTGAGGATGCGACGATATCATGTTCTTCCAGCCGATGGTGTCCATCACATCTGTCGCGTGACTCCTGAAACATACCGGCGTATATTAAAAACATTGTTTCGTACCCTTAATTAAATTAATTAACCTAGATTAAAATAATGCTATAATTTGTTTGACAGAAACCTTGCTTTCCAGGGTTGGAAAAACTCTTCTAATGGACTGCACGCTATTGGGCGGTCTCGTTTCTACCTTGCCAAAGCATTGAATTGTATAGAATGAAGTGTTGGAGATTTCTCTAATAACAATTACCCTTAATCACTAAAATCTAAGTGTGGTATAATAAACACGCTGCCAATGACGGCTTTTATAAGGCAATAAAGATTATGACTTCATAGGTAATATAATTAAATATTTTGTAATACTATTGATAATCATTTCCTGTCACGTGAATAGTAAATTGCATACCTAAAAACAGTTTTATAAGTTTAACCTTGTTAATATCACAATAGCGAATCACAATCCGTCAAATATTTGTCATTTCAATCCTTCCTGAATGTAATATAACCTGTGATATAACACTATCTTATCTGTGGCAAGGCGCTGGCCTTCGCAGACTCGTAATTATCCTACCAGGAAGGGATTGAAGTGCTGTGTTTATCTAACCTAAGTGATAATGTTATGATCTCATTGTATATTGTCCTTTTGTTTAGATTAATGAACACTATAGAAATAACTTCTATCAATTCAAATAAACTGAGATCATTTTACGACGACTTAGCGAATGTGTTTATAGTCCATTTAAAACGTTCAAAGAATCGATCATATGGTATTTATTGATGTACTGTTTCAAAAGATTTTCTGAAAATGTAATTTTAATTGGAATCCATGTATGGATTTGAAATGTCGTCTTTTTACAAAGTGGAGATGGAGTAATATGAATAATAATTATTTTGTCAGGTTGTTCTGTGATTTTAAACTTGTGCTATAAAACTCATTGTTTAATTTAACTATTTATGTTCTCTTTTAACATTTGTTAATAAACCCCTAAAAGAAGTAAAACGACTTTCCATCCACAATGTAATCCAAGAAGGTAAAAGGGCCTTTTTCTATTTCAGGAAACACCGCGTTACATAAGTAGTTCAATAGTAAGTAAAGAGACTCACGTGTTAATAAAGTCTATGGTCTGCGCCTTGAGCTGGTCAGCAGAGTGTAGGTCGGCTAGTATTAGCGTGTCTGCGGCCGTCTCCACTGACAGGCTGAGGCAGAGCGCTTCTTCACACATCACTTTTAGTCTGTCCAACGCATACTGAAACATACAAATATACATTGTCATACTATAACTATATAAATATTAAAATTTAATACATTTTAATAAATTATGAGATTAAAATTCCCCCCAAACCAGCTTTATTATTGTATACAATACGTTTTATGTATAGACTAGGTGAAAATCTAGCTACTGTCAAACACCATGCCTAAGAATTAACAACTTGTATGTAAACGTAATTTTATTGTCGAAAAGAAATTAACACATTATTTAAGTAAAAAAAGCAAGTTACTTATTACAATATAACTTTCAGATTAATATCAACGGCCTGTCTTTAAAATTCGTTGATAATATTATTAGTACACAAGAGATTTAATCGAAGTTAAAAACTAGTAGGTGATGTTTTCTATAAATAATTTAAAATGACTAAATCACGAAGTAATATAATGTGACTGTTCACTTAATTTTATTATTATGTCGTGATGATAATTCGTATAAACATTTCAAAGCCAAGGACAGTGATAACGTAAGTTAGGTATGAGCTCGTAGTCACACAAATAAATACTCATAACAATCGATTTGCCTGACTGTATTATTACATGACAGTTTTCACTTAGAACTGTACCAGACCAGAACAATTCACATTTATTTGGGATTCAACCCCAGGACCAGCGCTTAACAGGATCTACCAACAGGAACTACGCATTATGTTAAATATAAAACATAATATGAAATATTTAGTATCTAACGTGTAACTTTCGATTAAAAAACATTGTATACAACTTTTATAGTGTTTCGTTTATGTATAGAAAGCAAAGAATAAAGTGCACATCAATGAATTCTAGATCATTACCTTATCGGCAGCCGCCAACAGATCGTCAGCCATTTTGTCTAGATTCGGCGCTCGGTCGGTGTATATAAACCGTAACATTTCACGTAACACCTCGTGATCTACGTCTGTAATGTCTACTCGGTTACGTTTCCTCTCCTCCATTTCGTGTTCGAACATCGCCGCGAACACAGGACTTCTCGCTGAAATATAATAAACCACAACTATTATCGACGGATTTTTATCAATAATAGAAATTGAATCGTTGGTTCTGCGTCATATATAAAAAAATTACAGCTACAACTGTACCATACATTCAAAAACTGTAAATATACTTGCGTCACTACAGTATTTTCAACGTCATAAGTGCTTAGCCTACCAAAGTAGTAACGCAATTCGACGAGTAAACCGTAAAAGGATAAATTTCATTAACGCAAAACGTGATTATCAATGTTTATTCAACGAGGTAAATTGTAAACCATAGAATCTCTTGTTATTAATTTGTAACATTATCTGTTATTTCAACATCTCTAATGAACATCGGTTTGACGTATGACATAGGCAAATGTTAATGTAATTTATAACATGTATAATATAATGTAAACACAATGATTATGAATATGTGCTCTCATTATTGTAACATTGTTTCAGCCTATTTATGTCACACAGCTGGACACAAATATATCTTATGGGTATATTAAACCATATATTTCAAATGATAATAGCTATGATCATATCGGACATTTATACGCGAAGTTAAATCAATCAAACGCAAATCTTTTCAAACGTGTGCACGCCATTATTAGAACAATTGTTTATTTAGATTTCATTGCAGTTGGCTAGGAATTCACTTGATTTGCGTCAAAGCTACGTTATGCGTATGACCGAAAAGTCACTTTTATCATAACTATATTATAGACAATTACTTTAAATATAATAACGAAAACACCTAAATCCTTACATAAGTAACTTAACTTATGTAAGGATGTATAAGGTGTATGGTAATCATATTAAATATTGTCAACCATCGATCACTAATCAACACTCAAGTATTTACTACGTTACAAACTTAAATAAAACATTTTAAATGGTTTAAATCGCGAAATATATTAATTTATCTTATTTAAAATTCTAAAACGCCCAAAGGGTAGTTCAAATAATTCTGGCATTTTAAACCGATAGCGTTTTAATTAAACGTATACTACTTGCTAACATAGACAGTATTTACGTTACAAACTTCAACGAAATCATAATAGACGTGTATTTTTATTTGAAATTTCGCAAAATACCCACAAGACGACCATCCACAATGCGTTACATGTATTTTGATAAAAGAATAAGACAAAATCCTACTCTCAATTTTCGCTTACACAGTTCTAATATGTAACTCCTTGTGTTTTATATTCGTATTTAGTTCAAAAGGATTATTTAATAAGATCAATATTTACCTGCTAATATCGCCTTGTGCGCTTGGAACTCCCTGCCACCGACGGCTAACGTGACGTCTGAAAATCTCTCGCTATCAAACAGGGCTCCCAAGTCATCCGATAACCGGCACTCCGGCACTTTGAATTGCACTACATTGCTTTGCCCGCTGATATTGATACTGTCCGCGACCACTGACACTTCGCAGAATATCGTCAACTTGTCCTCTGGTAAGAGACCGTTCGCTTCATCCAGTAGAAAATCCCTGAAAATATTAAAAATACATTTTATTGTGTGTATGCTTTATTGCCCAACTTCGTTGCTTAGTTCGATGCGTAGTAAGAGATTCTAGGTTCAAATTTAGGGGATTTTAGTGTTTTCTGTAGGACATAAAGAAAAACCATCACTAGAAATGAAATTGAGAAAAACTTTGTTATGATTAGGTGAACAAAAGAGTAATGCATGAATACTGTCTATAGTTTACTTTTAACGGTTTTAAACTCGAAATGTATTAGTCTATACATTTACTACTATATATTTATACTAATACACATACATTTACATACACAGGCCGTAGTCAAAATATTTTGTAAAGAAGTTACCTAATACTCCATTTATACTGCCTTTATTTCGACATGTCTTTAAAAAAGTAATAATAGAAGAGACCGACGATATTTTAAAAATATATGTTTAAATACTGTCTATAGTTTACGCGAGTAGTACACATTTAAATAAAACACTTTCAACGGTTTCACGGGTCACGGCTGCTGCAAAGCATCCGAAACGTCGGGCCGAAGTTAAAAATAATTTTCAAATAAGTTTAACTAATATACCGCGTTTTAAACCGTTAAAGTCTTTTTTTTGTATATGTTTGATTTAAAAACCCATAATTGGCCTGTTCCAATTCCTGTTCCAATAATTTTATACATAGAAAATTTATTCAAAGACACAGTGGTAAATAAAGAACAGTAGGTACACGTATTGCGAAATTACCATCGCTAACGTGAATCTTTATCAGGGAATGCTCAGGTTTGCATTGCGTAATTGATAAGATGGAAAATGTTATTGGGGTACAGTTTGTTGTGAGAGTTATCTGTACTGTACTAATCCGTTGCAGTGGAAAATTTCTGATCTTAATTCGCGATGCGACACGTTTATACCACAATATGTATTTTCCTAGAAGTGATTGTTTGAAACGACATAAAAAAGACGAGTAAATCTCGTTTGTAATTCATTGAGCTTTAGTCTTTTTCAGTAGAGAAATACTTCTTTAAAACAAGAAATTTTGGTATTAAATACTTATATATGCGGCTGCTAGAGACAGAGTGGCCATTAACAAAAAACATGACTTTGAATAAAGAGGAAAATAAAAATGTGAAATTAACTTAGACGAAAATGAATTGCTGTAAGAATTATGGTAACAATTCTCGGTCACTGTGCTCTTGTAACATTTTTAGTCTAAAAAATATAAATATAAACATAAAATTGAAGTTAGGCCTCTCATATTATACACCAAATCTTATGTGACAATACTATAAGTTACTTCGCAAGCATAATAAATATGATCTTATCCTTACTGCGAACTTTTAAGCTGACTATTGTAAAAACGGTATGGTTTTACTTTTTAATTCGGCGAAGTAACCGGAGACAGCCGGAGTAGAATCGTATACACTAAGTACGTAATTTACATCGATGCTCACCTCCTGATGAACTTTTTGAATCCCCAATCCTTTCCCTGTACGAATCTATACGCCCGCTGCGACTCCATCGCCTTCGTCTCCTCCCGTTTCGCGTTCAGTATCGAAAACTTGAACTTCGCCCGCACTTCCGATTTATTACACGACACTAATAATAAATATAACGATAAATAGTCTTTGCTCTCTTCATCGAGTCCTTTTGGATTAACGCGGAGACACCACTTTAACTTGTCACTAGCACCGGCCGAGAAAGTCGATGATTTCAACACTTCACCCATCTCTTCTCTACAAAAACTAAAATTATTTATTGTCCACATATAACTGAACTTGACCACCTTCACCTGGAACAAAGAATACGATACGTTAATGGTCTGTAGATAGTCGTGAGTTGAATCGGGTTCAGTGCGAGGTGGGTAGGTTTTGAATGTTACAACAATAACACATGTTAAAATGATAAATGTATGTTTTGGATGCAAAATAACTGTGACACTGATAGTACTATGAGGCGCCCTCGATAGTTATTAGCTTCAGTAAACTGTGAAATGAGCGGTGGCTTAGAGCGCTTTACGACTTATTTATTACGAATAAAATTTTAACGTCGGTACCGCATACAGGTTCAAGGTCGGCATTTGTTTTACCGCGATAATACAATGTCTGGACGGACGCGGCGATTAAATTGTGGACATTGCTTATTAAAAATTAGCAAAGATATTCTGAAAATATCTTGTAGGTTGTGGATTGAAAACATTGTTATCACCATTACGATTTAATACGCAGTAATTAGCAATGCAAATACACATAAAGCGAATGTTCGCTGAACTATGAAGCTACTAAATCATACTAATAGTTAGTGAAACATGGACATTGTAAGTTATTGTAACTTCACTGACTTGTAAGTACGTAGCACTGGGAACTATGACTACTACTAGAGCAAGTTGATACTTTTATATTTGTAGGGCTTATCAATTATTACTACTAAATATACTGGACACTAAACATATTGGAAATAACCCAAATTAACGACAATAAATCTCAATTGACATATATATATATGTATATTTATACTTTATACGTTAACTTAAACAATCACGGAATATTTTTTATTTTAATACATTCAAGTTATAATAAGTACAATTGTATATACCTATTTTAACACATTGAAAAGAAAAAAGATTTATTTCTTAAAGGATTAATAAGAAAAATTATTAATTGTCTGGCCATGTAGATTGAATACGTCCATTGTGTGATTTTTGGGACAATATTGAAAATTCTACATATTTCGCAGGTAGATAAAATCGTTTCTCTAAATCTGAAATCCTACGGGGGATTCTTGTGATCATGGTGTAGTGATTTTGTGATATCACCGGGACGTGATGCGAGGTCCCTGGTCGTTGCCCCCGACCGTTGCTTGAGTTGCCAGCTTGCGGGCTTGCGGTGCTGCAGAGGTCTTCGCCCGGTCACCGACCCACACCAAGGCCGCCCGCATCATCCCAGCTCTAGAGTCAATGCTTCTTCGCCTCTTGCAAAACCCATTCGTGGCAGGTACACCACGTGGTCTTACTTTTTAATACAACTCGCTTTACTTCAAATGTTTACATTATTGGCCTAAATAACGAATCCTTGGATGTTATGAAACGAATTCAAAGTAGTAACTTATATTTTAATTTGTTGCAAAATAAGCTTTAAAATGTTAAATCATTTACTTTTAAGCATTGCGTTAAGAGAATGGTTCTAAATTCGAATACCAGATTTTCCAAATTATGGACATTTGGAAAATCTGAAACTAGGTCTTTGTTTAGATATTACATGTCTTGAGTATTTCGCCTTTAATTAAGTGTACCATGCTTGTGTCCTCCTGTGACTTAACTGTGTTACTTAATTTACATTTCTCAGTTTTTTTTATATACCTTTGTAGTTATTTTGGGTTTATGTATATTAAACGTGATTTATCATAGAAATCTGAGCCTGTCTAACGCATGGTCCGTAAGAGTCACGCTCAGTTGAGTGACGACGGCATAATATGTTGATATTCCACAAACGTACAAGGAAGTCGCGGCCACAGATAGTTCATTATGAGCATTTAATTGCATTAACAATGAAACAAATCAGATTTACTCCGTTATAATCTTAACGAACTCGTGAAATGCTCTCGAATTTGAAGACCTTTATAATAAGCAGCCGCGCCGCTTGTTCTCATAAAAAACACCGTTATCTTTCGCGGACCAAATAGATTTTGGCAAAAGGTACCAAAAAAAGGCAAAAGCAGATCGTTCGAGTGTGCAACGGTTGTTCCCATTCCTGTATACGTGCCCACACAGTGTTACCGACATCAGACCGGAAGCAAACGTTTATAATTCAAAGGAGAATGACCATTTTAGGCTACAAGTGGACAATGCTAAGAAAGAAATCTGAATTTTGAAATAGAAATTAAACATAGAAACTCCTGCACCTGTCGCTTATCGCGGCGATTTCGAAAACTAATCATTCATAACAATGAAAGAAAAGCGAACTATAATATAGTCTGTAGTCATCCAGTGATCGTTTCCCTTTCAACAAACATAACCAAACCAAATCAACCAAAATCAACTTACTTAGTGAATAAAACTAATACGCATTGGTCTTGTATTAAACGGCTTATCGATATCGTTTCTTAGTTATTATGCGCAAGAATAAGGACATTACATAATAAGCGATAAATAGCAAACATACAATGCTAGTTAGCGGCCATCATCGATTGAAATATCTCACACGTGTACAGTAGGTATATACGTATCGTCTGAATACCTCTGTAACCGAGCTGATACTAACAACATCTATTCACTCATATAATCTTAATAGGTATGTATATAATAAACAAGGTTTGTTTAAAATCAAAATATATTTTGAAGTGGAATAATAAAATCTATCAAATTTTAAATTTAGGCAATACTATAATACAATATCATGTAAATAACAATCGTTCAAATATTTGTTTAAATGCTCTAATCTAATAAACTACAAATTCGCAAAATTACTTCTGTATGGACCATCTGTAGTATCATCTCGCTAAATAACAAAACGTTTAGAAAATAATGTATGGACGAAAAATGAAAGACAATAATTTTGCTTACGTTTTTGTTTTGCGAAAGTCAAGTTCAGTAGATGGTTCTATTTTTTGCCACTATACTTCAGCTAACCTTTTCGATTTACTAAAACCTAGAGAACGCTGTCTTGAGTTCGAATCGTAGAAAATCAATAGATAAAATGTAGATAAAGTCGATCGGAGAAACGGATTTATGTGTTTAATCCACGGCCTATGCCTATGTAGGGGAAATAGAATTTTACCACTATCAAAGATCAAGAAAGTGAAATTAACACGATTAGCCAGTAAGACTGATAATAAGATCAATAAACAATCCTGTCTTCGTCTAATTCGACAACCATCGATGTGGTCGTGTTTACGATCGACGTGCTGTTCACTCGGTACTATGGACTTTCATAATATGCATTCAATGTAAACAAAGTAAATAACATTTTACAAATACATTTTTGCATGAAAGTATGTAGTTGATCAGATTACGGTGACAGGCTGCTCAAACCCAAGGCAACTCTCGTGCTTAAAGCTAAGTTAATCCACACGTTTAACGATTAATATAATAAATACATTTCTGTGTTCATTTTAGCGTAATAATGTAATAGTGAACGCTTCTTTTACAAGCAAGTTACCTGTCACACTTCTGTGCCTTGCTCGGCCGAAACAATAAATTGTTACAGAGGCTGTCAAAATAATAAAGATAACTAATCTTTATCAACATACTTTAATATCGGCCATTTCATTTCTTCACTGTCATTGTATTTTTTACTAATGACAAAATTCATAATCTACGAATAAAATAATCATATAAATCATCAGAGGCTCTACCAAGAAGCTAACATGCGAACATTTATACGATATTTTCAATAATTATTTTTTGTATATAAATACAATAAGTTGTCGTTAGAATTACAGATAATTAAAAAAAAGTTTAGCCAATAGAGGTGTGACACTTGCTGGTATGTCAATATAATATCATATATTTTGTGCAAAATTATTATTATTTATCACCCGAAACTGAGATAATAAAGACATGTGAAGGTTACCTTGATAACTCTTTCATTTAACGTGTGTTTTAAAAGGGACATATTCTGTAGTTATTTGTTTGTCCTTATGTATAAAAACATAATATATTTTTTACAGGCATATTTTTCGGGAGGAGAAGTAATGATGTATTTTTCGTGGATGAACGAGAATATTATCAGAATTAGACCATGATTATTAAAAAAAAATTGAGCAACAGCACGGAACGCTGTTTCCTTAGATTGTTGTTGCTTAGATTCCAAATTTGTTAAGCCGTTTGAGCTTTGAATAGAACCAAACTTTTTCGTTGTGCTAAGTATGAATGGGTTACCTGTGTAAAGCACCAGTTTTCAGCGACGGGTGTGTTCCCGTCGTGTAACGGGCTGGGCACGCGGCTCACCGCCATACCCCCGGCGCCGTTCGAGGTCACCCGCGCCGACTGCGGAGCGGGCGCGCCGCCGCCCGACCCTCCACCGCACTCACTGCCCGACGCTAGCCTGCAAACCGTCCACGTTACAACCACTGCGCCATGGTAGTCATTGCCCCAATAGGTTTATGTATAGTGCTCTCCAAACATTTTGGCCGGGCTGAAGTTAGCGCGACCGCCATCTCGCGCATGATAATGTAAATTTTAATCAAAAAGTCGAGTCGCCCTGCACCCGCGCACCCTTCTTGTCGCAACTGATACATGCTTTTTGCTTTTTTGCTTACTTCAGCCCGGCCAAAAAGTTTTGAGAGCACTGTACTACAGATAGAATGACAAGTTTGAAAATTGACACTGTTATTATTTGTAAATGTTCGCTACTCGGTATTCAATTACATAGAAGTTTAAATCGATTACTGGCATAGTTTTACCCTGTTATCGATTTTCTGTAGGTTATGGTGCAAACGAATTACCATGTACTACTAGTAAGTGGGCTGTAAACGACAGCAAAATATTATTTGTGATATCATTGACAAAATAAAGTCCTAACTTACTAGTAAAGGCGTTAATAATAATTTTCAATATATTAAAAAAAAAACTAAATTTTTAATTTGATATTTGAAATATAAACAAAAGAATTGTCAAGCCTTGTGTTGATAATTGTACTTGAGATTCGATAGTCTTCCCTTATCCGCATTGATAATATATAAATTATTTTATAGGAAAAATAAAACATTTTCTCAAGACCGCATTATTGCAAATATCCGACGTAGATGAAACTACTCGTAGCGTTACTTCAATGCTATCGTAAGTTTTAAACGCAGGGAAAAGAATGGAGAAACCGGAAAGATTGGTGTAGGCCACAGCCGCGACAGCCGCCTCGACGGTCATGACACGAGGTCTTTGTATATGCAAACATTTCTTGCGATCATTCTTTTTCCGCACAAGAAGCAGGACGATCAAAATCAGCTGAGGTCAGGACATTGGTGCATAACCCTGTACTACTTTAACGCTTTATAAAATCTTACACGAAACTGCGTTACAGTCCAAACTCGAGAACAGTAATGCGAGACTCTAATTCGATGACCTTTTCAATCGGCATTATTAATTTATCAGCTACACTGTGACCTAGTGGCCGAACCTGCAAATTCTCATGAAGCAGCATGTAGCAACATCGTAATTTGTGATGAGCCAATAATACCGGAGTTCGCGTTCATCCCGAATCGGGGCCACACGAAAAATTCATTTCGGTTAAACGCATGCGCTTTGTTCGTTGATTTTACCGGAGCATAAAAATGGTGTTCGGCGACTTTCATTTTAGTGCCATGTCGAGTTAAGTAGGACTTATACAATACGAGAAACCGTCCCGAGACTTTCACGAACTGGGGTTCGATTACCAAATACGCGTTAGAATCTGTGTCAGTTTCATCACCATACTGCATCCGTTCGCAGGTTGCGTGCGGTTCGCTTTGTTCGAGAGTGGGTATAGCGCGCTGCGGCCGCGGCAGCTGCGCGGTCAGCACGCAGGGCGCACACAATATCCTACACATATATGCGACACGATGGAAGCAACCGGTCGCAGGGACAAAACTGGTTTGAGGGGTGAACAGTGCACAATGGCGGGCCGAGTAAATCTTACGCCCGAATAAAAACAATTAAGAGTCATAACTAATTACAATTTACTCGCTGCGTAATTAAATTCGACGTTGTCACGTAAAGCGTAATACAAACGGCCATTATAAAGGAATCAGTACAATGCGATAACGTCCGAGCGGAAACCGCAAGTCGCGTCATGCCAGAGGCACAGCCAGAGGTCAACCGGACCAACAGAGCCCGTCCTATACAAAAGGAAAACGCGACAATGAAATAAGCCGAGTACTGTAACGCACGCAGATGAGGACAGGAAACTTAAATAAGTCACCGACAAAAGTAGGCTACATTAATTTTATTAATCGGTGCGACCCAGAAACTTAAAGATGTCGACAGAGAGACGACCCGAGATGTGACAGGAGTTAAGTCTGGTCTTTATACCTAATTGAGTTTACAAAGTAGCGACGGAAACAAAAGGGAAAATTAAATTCTTGCGTTGCGATTACACACGATGATTAAGACTAATATTTTAGTGATCTGAAAATAAAATTAACGTTATGGATAAACAACTTGAGATTTTGAGAGACTGGGTTTTGCCTAGTGTGCTACGGTGAAAGATGTTAGTTTTTCATAGATGGTCAAAACTTTCCATAGCAACGAAAACCGATAAGATATGGCACACGCAGCGATCCGCTCGAGGTCGCCCAACAAATTTGCCACTGTAACAAATAGAGCGGCCCGACCGACCTACATAGTTTCAGTTAACCGCTGTATGATTAACAATAGCCGAACTGCTGAAACACCTCAATCGTATTGAATTTAGGATACATCCATTTACGAATACAATTTATTGACGACATGACCAAGACGACATGACCTCCGCACTCATATGCTTTAGCAAAAATACATAACATTATATCGAAACCATATTAGATAGTCGCTGTGCCAGCGACTTTGTCCGCGAGAATCGTTATTTAGGGCATCCAAATTAGTTTTTGCAAACCTCGTCATCTTTATAAACTTAAGCTGTTAGCAACGTCGATCACGTCCTTTACCGTCGTTCTTGCAAGTTAATCATAAAAGATAGGCATATAGCGTCGCGGACTTTTTTTAGATTATTTAAAGAGTAATCATCCTTTTATACTCAATTTTAGGTATCTTGAACCGTTTTCGCAGCGTACGCATCTGTAACCTAGAGAGATGAAAAATTTCCCCCGTTTTGTTCACATTTCCCGCTGTATCTTCGCTTCTATTTGTCACAGCGCGATGTCATATAGCCTTATAGTCTTCCTCGATAAATGTTCTAACCGACACAAAAATAATTCTTCAATTCGAACCCGTAGTTCCTGAGATTAGCGCGTTCAAACAAACAAACAAACTCTTCAGCTTAATATATTAGTATAGAAGTATAGATTTACGATGGATCTCAGTATTCTGTGGACGCAAAATAAAAGACATTCCAACTTGATTGTAATTTAAATGGTATTTGTTAGAATTTATATGACGCTCGGTAGAGTCAACAACCGGCAAACGCTCGAGCAATCGTACGTTTCATCTGTCCCCGTGTTCTTATAATAGATGTCATCTGACCTGCTAGTATCTGTCTTCTAAATTTAAAGACATACCAACGTTCAACCCGGCTCATACATCCTCACTAACGCAACACACGTGCACCAGTTGAACGTGGATCGCTGAAATGGCTTCTATATTCAGGACCCTTAAGCGGAGAACAATACGTGCAGTTAAGACAATGATGACAAAACTGGGGTGCGGTGAAATAAGGCTTCGGCACATTGTTTCAAAGAAGGCGAGCGCAGCCGACGAAACAGGGGCGAGTAACCAAGTGAACATTGCCCTCTTAACGACGACTGCGTGTGACTCAGACGCCCTGAGGACGACCCGACAATAGGGTCCTCGACTGCGTTACTTTGAAGGACGATTTGTTTACCCGAGATGTCCTGCGATATCTCGCATTTATGCACCTAAGCGGTGACATTTCTTCTTGCTCCTAATAAGGCAACATCGTATAAGTTTTTTTATCGTCTTTTATTATATAAAAAGACGCATATATGTTTATTTACTTGCCGTTTAGTTTTGTTGTTAATTTATATAAATTATTATTGAAGTGAAGTCCTAATATTAAACATTAATCAGGTACATACAGATAAAGATAAATTATATTATATTGATTAGATCAAAAATTGTTGTAATAATGGCAGAAAGACAAGCAAAAGCTTCACTTAAAGATAGGTGAAATAACTAGCCATATAACACTTAAACAAGGTGTGCTGACGATCTATTTTGGATGTAGAATATAATAGCTCAAGAATTTGTCTGTCTGTCTGCCTCCTAGACCGATATAGATCTATAAGGAAACACTCCAATGTTATATCAAGCAAATGAAGATTTCGCAGGAACCCAATAATAGCTACGTGAACAGCAATTATAGGTATAAGTAATTGGTGGGCGTGACGCGCGGAATAACCAAACACACGGTGCTCAAGGCTGGCCTGGTCGTCAGGCTCAATCCATGGCAATTTGTAACAATAACTCCTCAATGTCAAACCTATTATTTTACATAGACACAAAGAATAATTAATTAGATTACCTACATCAGATGTTTAATGTAACGCGAGTGTTTCCTGCTTCGAATGAAAAACAATATTTTAAAAGTACCTAGGTGTTTATATCCAATTCATATAAACAGAACTAGCCCAGTGGAAACTGCTGAGAAAATTAATAGATTTGCGATAAATTAATTTATGTTCTAGCCATTATGTAATATTGAGTAAGCTGGTTTATTTACAGTGCAGAATAACCTTGCGATTCTTGTGAAGTATATATTGATCTCCTTGCGTATGAGTTTCCGTATGATTAACTCAGTGTTTGTCTAATAAAGTAAAATGCACAAGGTCTTCTAAAGTATAGGTGCAAAATTTTTGTGAAAATAACTAGTTATAGAGGCCTTCGTTTAATTTTTGTACGTTACAGCGAGGTGTTTTGGTGCTCTGTAGTTTTGTTATATATTGCGTAACTATACATTTCATAAAGTCTCAGTAATAAAAAAGAATATGAGCGGGGACTCGAGCCTACGACGCTACTGCGTACTGTGCTGTCACTATACCGTTTAAGCTACCGTGCTATTAATCTACGGTATTTATTTATTGCAATAAATCACTTTTAACAGTTTAAAACCGCGAAATGAATAAAGCTTATTTACAAATACATAATTTTAATTATGGTCCGACGCTTCAGATACTAAGCAGCTCTTTAAAATAAACTGTAAATAGGTTTAACTAATACATTTCGCGTTTTAAACCGTTAAAAATGTTTTCTTTAACGTGTACTACTCGCGTAAACTACAGACGTTGTTTTATTGTTATTCTTGATTATATAAAGGCGACATTGTCTGCATATATTTTTGTTCAGTGACGCTGCATATACGAGTATACTTGGAACGTGATTATTGAAGGCAAGAATACAACAATCTAACACGGAAATGAGTAACATAACTACATATATAGATATATAGCACCTCTATTCGTCCGCGATGCGCGGGGACGGGCAAGGTGACCGCGACGCTTGCGTTTATTATACACATTAATATTATATCTATATGACACCTTCAGTATATTGTTTAAAAGTATTTGTATATGTCATATCTATGATTAGTGGAAGTTTGACGGGCCGTTGGTAGCAATGTATAGTAAGCGACGGTTCGTCCGTTCCTATCCATCCCTACCAGATCCAACATTTTTCTAATAAATTAATAATTTTTCTGAAACATGGATTTCTTCTGGAAATCTGGATAAATGGGTGGCTCGGGTCACGAACCACTGTTCACAGATTAGCCGTCAAGTTTAATCGCGTCTCGGTTTAAGTCTGTGGATTTTCGAATATGCAAAGCCACAATAGGTCGCGCATGCGCAGCGCATCATGTAGATGTCACAGAGCTGGGATAATTCACCTCCTATCAAGTAAACCCCCGTGCTTGTATGTGTCCTCCCCCCTATCATTAAAAAAAGTCGTATTTAAATTCTTGATACTGCACATACATTAGGAGTAATAAAATTTAAACGTTATTTTTTCCCAGACATCCCGACTCCGTAACAATATTATACACGAAATTCAAGACGAATTATTAAACGAGCGTCTCTAGAGAAATTCACCTGTATTTGTGTAGAACTTTGCATTTCGGACGCTCGTAAAATTTAAATCCCTTAACCCGTACGTCAAAACGAAAAACCGAAGTGGTATGAAGGTGATATACAAATAAAAAAAACACAATGTCAGCGTGTACGTGTCTTATTAGTTATTTTATTTATATCAGTATTGTTAATCTTCAAACGTGTCGTAATTACAAACAGCATTATACTTTTATTAATGCGCGTGATTGGTTTAAATTACATATGCCTAGAGAACTGCAGTCGCACCATTGTTTTACGAAATCTAAATCTCGTGTGATTTCGAGTTGGGCAAGGTTTTCGCCATAGCGCACAATAAGAACGCGGGTTATATTTAGAAATCGATACTATATTGTACTTATAACTTGTACATACACAACGGTGATCTTTTTGTACTTTACCAAATGACGACGAAATTATAGTCTGAAGTTTGGCACAGATTTTAATAAAACTGTAGATTGCTGTAAAACACCCAAAACGCCGGGCTGTATTTACAAACTTAATTAAAAGTAAGCAATTTATTTCGCATTTTAAACTGTTAAAAGGGTTTTATTTAGATAATAATCTTATTTGTATATAATTGTATGTTCTACTACCAATATAGTACAAAGTAACTTAGTATCTATATCGGATTGAATGTATCTTGGCATAAAATATTGATCTGACGAAATAAACTGAGATAATCATAATATCTAAGTATGCATTACATAATTCTAGTGTAATACTATTTTTAAAATGCAATTGTGCAGTTAGCGCTTCCTAATGCGGCCAGGTAATAGTTAACTTCACCACTTGTTAGTAAAAGCTTTATATTAAGTATGTACTCGCTCTAATATTTTATTAGAATGTTCGGCCTCGTTTTGTATAGTGGAACAACGGATCCGGAGACTTAATAATAATGGTCTGTGAACGTTACGTCACGACCTTCATAGCTGGTGATGACGTCGATACACGCACGCCTACCCACAGTTATTTTATGACGCTCGTTAGATAAAGAATTGAAAAGCGTTGGGTATTGAAGTCTAGTAAGCGCGAAGAATTGGCACATTTCAAAGAGCTAGTCTATTAATGGTAAAACGTATGACGAGTAAACAAAGCAGAATTCATATAATTGATAGACAGTAAGGCCCGGGCTCGCAGCAAAAAGATTATGAGCATTGGCAAGCGAGGATAAGCTTTAAGACGGAAGCGTACGAGGCGAGGCCGAGGACACACAGTCAATTCACAAACCAATTCAATCCGATGGCTATATTATGTACTTTCGATCAGACTACGTCAGGGTATATTAAATTCATTCATCAAGAGTTTTGTAAATAGTAGTACTCTGCTAGAATTCTATTCCGGTTTGAACACGAGATTTGGCATAAATACAATATACATAACTCAAAGTCTTTGACACTAGGCTGCAACAAAGCTTAGTATACAATCTCTTTTTATATATTAACTAAAAAAAACTCTCCTTATTTTTAAAGTCTCAGTTACCAAATTTTATCTTTCCAGCGGTTAATTACCCTTCTTTATTACGATCCTTTCTAGCACCACCTACTTCACGGTACTTTTATTTTATTATTGTTTTTACCTTCACGTCAGGTTGCCTGGAAGAGATCGCTGTTTACCGATAAGGCCGCCTTTTACTTATAACCTAGTACATAATAATTTATTGTTGTAAACCATTCCTCTGGTATTTGTAATTAATAAAGTTATTAATAATAATAAATAATAAAAGTATCTACTGTCAAACAACGTCCGAACTAGAAGAACAATGTGCAAAGTCTAAATATGACAATCGTCAAGCGAACGTACATCATTTTGAAATCGTTACGTCGCCTCTTGTCGACATGTTTTAAATACAAAGAGACGTTTTCGAAGATTATGCAACATCCCAAGACGCGTCGAAGCTCAGCGGGCGAGAAGAAGCGTGCACGAGACACGACTCGACCGATCAGACTTCACGCAATGTCGACAATATTCTCGGACCGAGGCGACCGATGACTTAGCATATCACTCAATAAAGAGCATGAAGACAGTAATATCTAACTGGGACGGCCTGATTTACAGCTCTTACTAAAAACTGTGCCACCTCGGCCCTATAGCAACCGTGCTCTACATTGTTTTACTATGAATATGCAAACAGATAGTTGAGACTAAAGTCGGAACAAACGGACTGAGAAACAAACAGAGCAGTAAGGAAATACAAAAATAACGTTAAACGGTTGGGCAATGAGAAGTCCAAATAAATTCGACCTCAATCATTATTACCCTATGAATTATTAGACACCAAACGATTGGCAGAACCTTGACTTCTGCCTAATACAAATAGTGTGACCCTACTTCCTGGTACGTTCATGAGGGTCGTCATTGACAGTGTCGCCAGCACCTACTTAATATCAATCTATTAGCCACGGTCAAAGAGAAAAACCACTATTCGCAGACTGCTGCATTCTGGTAAAAAATATTACGAAGCAATGTATACGAAGCATACCTATAGCAATAAATAGGCCGACGATAATATTCGTCACCAGTCAATCTAGTACAAGTAGTTAACATTCAGAATTATGAGAACAATGGCCGGTAACACACAATATATAATTTTAAAAGGCCGCGCACTTATTGAGTTGTGGCTCAGATATTAAAATATTTACTAGCCCTGACACATCACAGTTAATTGTGTGGGTGTGTAGAGCGAATGAGCTGCACGGCTGTGTGCGTCGTGTCAAGACAGCGTAGCTGGTGGTACAGGTAGTCAGCTGAACAGCAGCGGCATCGAGAACGCGACCCGGTTCGCCGATCGAGAAAGCATCTACAAAACTCGGTTGAGGCCGCGCATACAGCAAAGAGGACGCGTACTTCAATAATTCTCTTGAACACGCCATATAAATCTTTTGAGTGAACATAAAATTATACCGCTAACACAAACGATTCTGTATAAATTAAGAATTAACTTAAGGCGACTATTCGAAACTACTGTTTCAGCATCTGACATTAAATCGCTTCCGCGCAGTGATAAAATGTGTACGACTCGGTTTCCTTGAAATTAATATCAATAATCACGTTATTATCGACGAATACGTGGATATCGGCGAAATATTCTCGGAGCCCAAATCTCCTTGTGCGCGAGGCTAAAACTAGTCCATCGCTTAACGTTCACTAACACGATTTTGAACAGAAGGGCCGAAGTAATGTCATGGCAGTAAGTAAATGTTACGAAAGACAATATTGGATGTTCATAATGTATTCAATTAATATTCAAAGAGTTTTTCTACAATCTGACAAGGTTAAACACAATATTTTAAGTTTGTGTGTAATGTATTGATATTAGTTCAGCTACGTCCTAGACCTTGAATTTTACGTCCCTGTTCCACTTCTTTAGTACATCTTCACAATACATCCATTATACTCGTATTATCTAGCACAACTTTACTGGAAATCCGCGAGGGATTTGCGATTATTTTGTCCAACTGAAGTATGAAAAATTAATCGCATTAATAGATATAAAAAAATTATCTGATGATACAATTGCCAAGTTTGTTCATAGGCAGAAAACGGGGTCAAATTTGACATCGTAACGCGTTTGACCTACATTACTAGCGCAGTGTTTGAAAAAAATTGTATAATGAAGGTGAATTTTGTTGTATAAGAAAAGAAGAAAACGTTCGTACGTGTTGTCTAATGCAGTTTACATTTTAAAGTGTGTCAAAAAATTAATAATAACGAAGAGAGCAAATTATTAAATTCGCATTGAAGCAGCTGACGATTGATAGTTTCGGGTCAAATCGTATAATAAGGGGCACAAGGTAAAAGATGGTGCATTGAAAGTGGCCTTAAGCCCAATAGCAATCTGCGACCGCGTCGCTTCCTATTGGCGTGGATTGACAATACCTTCTACCGACGTGAAGTACCATGGCTTTAAGGTCATACACTAAAATTACACACTGGCTAATAATATTACCACAGTGTATAAAACTAATCATTTTATGAATTTGAAAAATCGTAAAAACAACTTCCAATAGTTATTATATCCCTCCAATCTCTAAAAGCTTTCACCGAATTTTACTAAGCTTCTTTAGCCGCAGTAAGAAAGCGATGAGCGGTGACCTCGATCATTTAATAAGACTCAGGAGGTGAAACACAAATGCTCGAGTTTTACGGGTCAATTGAAGCAGGGGCTGGTTGGTGAGGGCTTAGGGGGCTGTGGGGAGCGAAGGGTGTAGGGACAGCAGGGGAGGACCCTGACACAGATCCCAACACATCAGTAAAATGGAGGCCTCCAAAATTGAGCACGATTATACCATCGCTATTACAGTACGCACCATACGCATAACGCGCTTAAAAAATAGGTCGGATGGGCGATTTTAGAAGCATTTATATCAGAGTACATGCCCAGTGTTTGAAGAAATCAAATAGGTATATTGCATTTTATATTCGAACGTCAGACGAAAAAAAACAAAAGAAAATTAGGACTTGAGACAATGCTAAATTGATTGCAAAGCGAGCGTTAGCAACGTGCATTTACGTTATTCGTAACGTATAACGTGACCCGTTCTCGTCATAACTTTACGGGCCACTTTCCGCGTAGCACGTGAATCTCACCGCGCTTTGCGTATTGCGACACCGTCAAACCGAAACCGTACAAAGATCCTTTGCTAAAAGGTACTTAAGAAAAATTAACGTGACACTGAAACGTTTACAAAAACAAAACAGATATGCTAAACTCGTAAATTCGCAGTCCAGGGAATGATTTACGTTTTCTCAGTTATCTATATAAATTTATAAATTTAATTTTAGTTATATATATAAATCTAAATTACATTCACAGCGTAAGGACACGCGGTCTAAAAGCCTTACTTTCAAATCTTTTCTTAACAATGAGAGCAATGTCCGTTTTTTGTGTTTTAATTTATTTAATACTTGTATGGTATTAAAAAATAACCTCCACGCCACTAATGCGAACGTATTTATTTGTTCTTTAGCCACATCTTATGTAATTTTCAATTTTCAAATGGAATAGACAAATTGGGAAAACGGAATAAATGCCTTATTACTTACAACATAAGATTTTTAGACAAATACCTACCAATTTTAGTTTTTTGTCTAAATGTGAAGAACTACCGTCAAAAAGTTAAGAATGAAAAAGAATTTAGGAAGTAGGTGAAGAGGACAGAGCGCTGTAATCGGTCAAATGTGTACATTGTCGGAGCATTAGGATCAGATAAGTATTATTGAAACCGAAATACGGTTTCGCCACAGCCAGGCCGCAACCCAGTTCAGTTATCGCATTCCGCCGTCCGCGCCGCTGTAACAGGAGCACAGCGCGGGCTCAGCCACAATCTCGCTCCGTCGCAGCGGGCTCTCGCTAAATTGATACACTCTTGCGAAACAACCTCGCCCAACTTATCCGAGCACAATCAAATTAGAGAGAGGTGGCCCGTTTTCTACATTTCAATTAGTGATAAATATTATTTGTGATTACTTACGTTCTTGGCATGGCAACTTTTTCTTTGTGGATAAGGTACCTTAAAAAGCAGTTTAGTATATAGATTTTGTGATAACAAAACTTATATGAATCGATTTTGAATATTATTACAGGTAAATGCCCCGGTGTGTAAGCGATGCGCGCAAATAAAAACAAAAAGTAAGCCCTTAAGCCCCCCCGGTCCAGACGAATTTGTGTTCGTTTTTGAGACTTCATTCGAGTCAAAAGGACGACGACCCCGATCCGCACAAACGCATTTCCGCAAATTCTTATCGTAAGCGTGTGAGTATAAAATATACCAATATACAGCGCAAAGGACAAGGGAAAAGGTGAAACGGAAAGGACGAACGTTTATTCATTGAAAACTTACAAATCGACTACCTGCCGTAGGCATCCTGCCGAATTAATATTAATAGAAACACGATGCCATTACACATTGTTTACAAGATGCTTTACAATTACGCGAAGTTGTCGAGTTCAATAGAATATAACATCTCTTAAGTTGAAGTGTAAATGGATAAAATGTGTGCACCGAATTAATTACAATTTTGTATGCATCTAATAAAAATCTCAATGCCAATTCGAGCCACTTGACATAGTTTCAATTCATAAGCATCAAGGCATTCTCGACTCATTATTACCACGAAAATAAATCAAATAACGGCTTAGGTATATCGATTCGGAAGCAAAAAAGGAAGCAAAAGCTTAAAGCTCGCTTCGGGAACGTTTTTGTCCTAGGTAGTTTTACCTGCAAGCGAGATCTCGTATTTCGAAACACCCAACATTGTATGTGATTTAAAATTTAGTAAGCTTAATAAGATTTTGGGATTGTAAATAGATATTTTAAATTTAACATTACTAATACACACTCAGTGTAGGTATATACCTAATATAATATTTATCCAACAATACTATTCTTGTTTGTAAATAATACAACCGATAGATCATTTATTATAGCCATATAAATGACCGCCATAATCTATAATTACTTTTATTAATATTTGTAGCATTTGATGTGGTCTGTACTTTCCATTGTCCTTTGCTAACTACCTTCTAACATGTAAAAATTTAGTTAAAACCAGTGACCTCGTATCAAATAATGTTGACATAAAACATCCAAATGATATTTTGGGGAAATACCTAGTAACGCACGAACAAGCGGCGGAGGGGTTTACTTTGGGGTAACAGTTGCCGACGAGGGTGAGGATGAAGAGAAAACATCGCCATCGCATTAACAAATACTGAGGGGAAGTTTAGGGGATTTATGTTAATACATAACCGATGAGAAATACTAATGCACGAAACGAAAGCATAAAATGAAATCTTCAATGAAAAATAATTGTTGTAAAAGTGATTCGATTTCTATGCTGCTCCCTCTACCTGCCGTCAGCGGTTAGACGTTCAGCTTACACAACAAAGAAAGTTAAAACGCGAGCGGTGCTTAGTGACTTTCGCCGCTGACAATAATTTTACGAATACGAGCCGAAATACTTATAACATATTTATAATAAGCGAACGAGGAAGAGAAACGGCCAACTGCCCACCGATATCGTCCAGCAAATGTCAATGATAACACGCTCGTTTTATTGGTAAAAATATAAAAAGACTTAATGAAGGAAAAATCCTTCGATGTGTATATAGCGAATTAAACTAGTTCCGCGTTGACTTCAACAACCAAAATAGCTTACCTAGCTAAGGCCATTATACGTTCGTATAATCCAATTTTCCAAATAAGTGACACTTCAATAGCACAACAAACACTGGGGTGAAAATTAATAAAAGTACTGAGCTCACTGAAAAGAAATAACTTGTGTGCGAGTGCGTATCACGTTTCTTCACCGCATGGTTTTCCCGTCGCGTTTCGTGGCCTGACAGACGTTATGCGCACTCCACGAGTGACGGGCGACTGGCGGACGGACGGCTCTCGGCTCCGAACGCTCGGCGCGACAGAGGACAGTGCAAAAGCGCGACACGCGAGCGGCGAGGGCGGGCGCCCGCAGGACATCTGCGCACTGAGTACGGACCCTTTCGCAAGTGTTTTCGTTCGGTGAAAGCTCGACTCTCGAGCTTTTATCGTTCGTGTGTACTAGCTTAATTATGTAATGAAGTGATTATTAGTTACTTAACACAAATTGCACCTCATTATCGGTGACGATTAACAAGTTTGTCTTTGATTGTGTTTTAAGTGTCGCATTTGTATTTTGTTACGCATTTAAAGATGTCACTCTCATTTAATGTCGAGTCATAAAATGTTTTGCTAGTCATGCTAATTCTAGTGAATCAAAAATTGTAATTTATGACATCATAATCAAATTAATGTAAGAAGGTCATCTACAAAACTACCTAATATCTATTGTTTCTTATGTTTGTACATCATTATTGCCTTCATATCTTGTAAAACCTACTATCTAAATTCATCGCAATTGTAGGCTTAATAAATATTTATATAACGTCCTTACATTACATATAACCTTTAGTAATAAGAAAAATATAATAAAAATGTTAGATAAATTCATTATTTGCGCCTGCCATAAAATAATGGCATATACATGTAAAATACGTCTCAATAATAAATTCAAAATATTTAAGGCATTTCTATGATTATAAAAAGTAAGTAATTATAATAATAATCTAGTATCATTTGTGATTTTATATATAAATTGGAAGTATTTATAACTGTTGTAGATTGCAAAGTTATAACTTTAGTTACTGTGTACCTCTTTACATAGGTATTATTTATATTATTGAAAATTTTCTATAATTATTTTTCTAATACGAGTTCCAATATTATAAACGCTTTGATCCCCTTGAACGTGATAGAAAATACTTTTCTTTATAATGCAGTAAGATAAGATAAGTATGAATTCTAACAACACTCAAAACTGATTAAAATTTTAAATCCATCGATTACGTTTTGGTAGTTACCACGCGTTAAAGATTTTTACTTAGAGATTGAAATCGAGTGTTATAACTTCGGCCGAGTGCACTTTCAACGATTAACTTTCTCATTTACTATTTAAGTTGACCTTTCCTTTCTATAGCGCTCTCTATATGCGCGGGTCAATTGTCAATTCAGAACCACATCACTGGCATTGTATTCTCTTATAATGGACACGAGTATTGACACCTCTTCAACATATTTACCGATGACAATCGCTTTGAGAGAAAGCGTCTCTTTCAAAGAAAGCCCTTCTGGACTAGAATGGCCTTGTACTATAAACAATTAATTCACTATATTTTTGAGGCATTTTACAGTCTTGGATTCGATCCCCACCGGGGCACAACAAGTTTCTTATTAACTAAACTATTTATTGTTCTGAAACATTGTTGGATTTCGCCTGGAAATCTAGATATTAAATGATTAGTATGAAATATCGAAACCATGACTACAGATGAAAAAGCTGTAAATTATAATCGCGAACAGTTTTTGGTCTGTGGATTTCTGCAAATCCAAAGCCTCGAAAAGCAAAGGTATTTTTACTTCTATCAAGCATGGAGATTTGTCTGTTTTTTCCCATCATAAATATAATAACAACAAAAATAGCGTATTTATTACGACTAACTAGTTAAGGTTTTATGTCGAGCTCTAAGTAGAAAAAATCTTTATATTGAGCAAAATTATGTGGGTATTATTATAGATAATAATAAAAAAGATAATTCAAGAAGTATTTCCATATTTTTCAATGATTCAGGATTGACAACAGGAATATTCCCTACAATATTACTCTCCGCTGTGTTCAAAGATTCGTTCTCCCGGAGATTTTGCTCGAGAACGTCATTGCTGTAATTTCCTTGAATTTAAATTTCGAATTTCTGTTTAAATCTAACAAGGTAGAGAGGCGCCAGAGTGAGAAAGCTCCTATCACAACTCGGTGAAAACCCTATAACGACAACAACTGTCACGCGTTTGTATATAACACCCATTACTTGCTTTCAAAAAGCATGATAGATATAAATTGCTTGTGAAAGTACGTTAATTTAGAGTTTACCATTTGTTTATAGTTTTTGCAATATTCATTATACGATAGCTAGTTGGGTAATTTTGCTTCCGGGTTTCAGTTGGGGACACTTGCTTTTTGCTTAAGCGAGAAGTGTTGGATTCACATCCCAAGAAAAAGAAGAAAAGTTTTTTTTTTGTTTTTAAACATATTCTTATGGCATAAAAAGAGGTGTTCACAAACTGATTCAAGATTATCTGCATATGAGACAAATCGGCACCGTCAACAAACCATTAGTAGCCACTAGAAAGATTTTTTACTTAGGAAGCAAAATATATATCAATATATATTCACACTACTTTATCAAGTTAACACTAATCGCTTCGCCGTCCAGTTCGAAAAAGTGTCAGAAAATTCCGCAATAAGCCGGCTCGGTCGACATGTCTTTGTGAGGATTAAGGTGACCGAATTTAGTTCAACTTGACTCATACAGCGTTGCTCCTTTAAGCAATTGCTCTAGTTTAATCAAAATTTTCATGATTCAAAGTAGTTCTGTGTGTAAATTTGATGGAACACAAAACAGCTTGATCAAGAAATTGACAATCATCGATAACGGTTGAAGAGACAGAATCAGTAACTACGTTTATAGTAGGTTTTTGTAAAGCTAAAAGTTTGGTCAGTACATAGAACAGAAGACACTAAAATTGACAAGTCCCCCTTTTTAGAGCGTATTGCTGCGTTATTGGGTTCAACCCGATGCTCTAAGCCTCCCTCGACTAACCTCCCAAGTTTGTGACTAGCGCGACGACGTACCTAACTCGCCAGCCTTAAATTGAGTATAGATTTCACTGTACCTACCGGAGCTCGCATGCCGGTAGAGAGTGCAACAGTAAGAAAGCGTCCAAAAGCGGGAGAAGGTAAAAACAAAAAATTTGAAAGCACAACAGACAACAGAGCATTGTCGAAATTGGAAAGTCGAGTGGTGCCGCGTGAATTGCGTAATGGCTCTTACTGGGCACGGCGTGACGCTGACGAAAGGTACCGTGTGACGTCACGGCATGAAAGTGCATCGGCCGCCGCCCCTCCCGTGCAGCGAGGGCGGCTGCACGTGCACTGCTGCGCTTCCTGTATGGGAAGACTTTCTATTGGGAAACTGTTGCGCCAAGCGAACGCCACACTATTAGGAAACGCGGCTCTCACGACATAAACGAGATGCATCTAATTGAGCAATGACGTTTACTCCGAGCGCTTACACAACTAGAGACGCGAGTGCTTTCGATATCTAATATCTATACTTTGTACAACATAGGATGATAAGTTTATCAATTCGACGGGATCGTGGGTCTTATGGTAGCAATGTATTGTTAATATTCAATGGGCCCTATGTATTAAATGGTGTAGTATCCCCTCGGATCTAAAATATTTATTGAAAATTTATAATTTTTCGAAAACATATTACAGATATTATTAAAATAGGTCGACAGCGTTATGTGGCTGAGGTACTTCACCTTCCATCAAATGAACTCCATGCTTGTCTGTCCTTCTATATCATAAAAAAATCCCGTTGATAGGAATGGGGGTAGTTTGTAGTAATTTGCGTATCATTACATTTTTTGTTATGAAATAATCTTTGCATATGAAATAACTATATTTTAACATGAGGTACGAACCTTTATATTACAATTTTAAATCTTTTTTTTAGTATTTTTTTCTATTCTGTATTAATATTATTAGTTAAGGTACCTTGCAAACAAATAAAATATATCAACCATTTTTGATACCCGTCTTTAAAACTAAATAGGTAATATATATAGGCGTAAATGTCTTACCATCCTATATTAGATTAGGTATAGTGGCGCCAATTAGGGTATTACTTAACAATTACTTCTAGTTAAAATAGAATGCTTACACTTTCAAAGAGCCTGAATAGTTGCGGTGGTTACCTGGAAAGACAGAGTTGAAATTTAGTAACACAGAAGGTAGGTATTATTTTAATTTCTTTTTTTAAGAGAAAATTCTCCATTTAACTAACTAGTTAACTGGTGTCAAACCTTTGATTGATATGATCCTTTACATCAGGCAAGGTTCTATAAAAATATATTTTTATTTTTATTATGTCACGCCTCTTATTTTACTTTGAAGAAGACATTATTACTGTGTATAATGTAATGACTATACAACTAAGTTTTAATATACGAAATTAGTTTTCTTAGCGTGAGTTTGGTTCTGATCAATAGTATTAATAATTCTCCCCTAAGAACTTTGTGCATTTCAAACTAGTGATCAGATTAAACAATATAGTCATTACTAGCAATAGAGAATTAAACAACACGAGTAGATTCTGCAACACAATACACATGCCACATTGATTGACCAATAAGTAAGAGTTTAAAAATTGAGGTCTCAGCTACGCGGGACGCTCCTCAAAGGAGTTCATGGTTGAATGGCGCATGTATCGTTTTAAATGCACCCTGTACATATTAATATGCTCTTTTCGTAACTACAATAAGATCCATTATTCTTTAGCAAATTAAAAACGGTTCCTAACTGTCAGTTTGTGAATTGAATACTGTGATCTTTATATACATCTTATGCTTACCGGAGACAAATATAATTAACGATTCGAAATATATAATTCAACACACTGATTACCTACTGTAAAAATTAGGTGGGGACATGGGGCAGTTTTATAAGGGTTTTAATGACCGATTTGATTAACATATTAGTTGATAAGCCTTTTCAATCCGGCCACAAGAAAGCTATTATTATTTCCACGGGATTCAAACAGGTATTCCAGCAGGTGATGCAAAGCTAGACTATACATTTAAACATTGAGCCACTGAGAAGGAAATTGCATACATGAAAAGGGATTTGAAATGTGTCCGCAAAAATATTCGTTCGTGAACAACTAAAACACAAAGTGACAAAATAACACCGAACTTTCATCGCAAAATCGCAATTAGAGCGGGGAAAGTTGCTTTATGCTGAACAGAACTAAATTGAAAAGCGACGATCGACTAAGTTTCCTAGGCAATAAATAGTATCAGAAAAGCGAATGGCCCGCTGCACTTTCTAGTGGAGCCGTGGGCAAAAGTTACGATATCTCTGATGATATAATAACCATTCGCTACAGTCACCGCGAAACACTGGGTGCTTTGTTCCCTTTTATCCGACGACGGCGGAGCAAAACAGAAGGGTAATGTTTTGTCAGTAATTAACGAAGTGTCAAACATTTCGCTATAATGGCGCCATGATATAAATAGTATAGAAACCAAACACAATCCCGTAATTATAACCTAAAAAGGTAACCTCAAACAATACATAGAGATAAAATTATCCGCGATTAGAAATAATGTATATATATAAAAAATAACAATTGCGTTATGCTTTGCCGATCTTTCTTACTTATCAAATTTAGGCTCGTTTCCGGGTAATATGAATCACTTCAAAATATTCTAAGTTTAGAATGTTGCAGACACAAAACGTTATGACTAATGTTTATTATAGAAGAAATAATCCTTGTTTAAGCTGATACATATTTTATTTGATAAAGTATTTGGACTGTGCTTAGAAATACAATACAAAATGTAATAAGAATGGTATCAAACGTATCAACAATACTCAGTACAGAAAGTTGTGCTGATAAGATTTCAAATTTGGCAAGCTAGGCAAGCGTCCAAGAGTTCGCTTATGTTATTTATTGGCATCAAAGAAAATCTATTATGTGTTATAAGTAGGAGAATCTTCTTTGGCTCAAAATACCACAGATAAATTAATTATTCATAATATATGTGTATCGTGCAGACTATATAAAAATAATTGAACAATTGATACTGCGTTGAACGCGCAGCTTCTGTCGAATAATTTGCCTGTATTTCACATTCAAATCTTTAGTAAATTGCAAGAGATCTCTGTGAATACGTTCACCGTCCTAGATGCGCGGTACTTTCGTTTTGAAATCGCCTCGCACAATTGGCCGTATCGAGAGTCGAGACAGCAGCGCAGCACTGTGCCAGCTTGATGAACAGTGTCAGAGCTCGAAACGCATTCCAATCTCTCTTGTATTTCTTTTCTCGAGATAACGTATCTACGGTTTATAGGACAGTGTGAGATATAAGGGTTTTTAAAGAGACAAAAGAAAAAATGTCGCTATTATATCGTATAAAACAGTGACTTGTCTAATTGATTTTTAGAAGGATTGTATTTTTATTCTGTTGCATGTTGAATAGCAAAAGCGTTGTTTCTCTTCGAAGGGTTTATTTTGTGTGAAATTGCATGTCGTTCGCAGTACACTGTGTATATGTATACACTTCGGTCATTCCCTACACAATGTAAGGACCTGGATAACATTACTAACACTATCACTTCCTACACAATTTTATCTATTCAACACGTCCTGAAATTCGAGCGTTTTAGAACTGTGTATGTTCAGCGTACGTGATTGATAACGGTATGATTCATATAACATTACAATGTGCTATAGGGATAAATGCTATTTACGTTACTACACTATATAAATAGATAGTTCTGAAATACCTAAGTGGAACGAACACAAACGTTTATCATCCTGAATTGTTAAATAGAAGATGCGATTGAGCGGTGCGATGTTTTAAAGATCGAAAGAGGGAGAAAGCGAAAAGGTCCTGGATACGGCATCGATGACAAAACGCGCCGAATAAAGGTATGAAATTGTATGTCATTTATGCAGTTAGTGTGCGCCAGATTTCATAAGCGATCTCTCCGCACCCTGATCTAGGTTAGGTGGTCGACATCGGCGGCAGCGGTGGCGTATCGAGCGCGGCTGATGTTAACCTACATAGTGCGGCACACATACACCGGCTAGGGTCGAGAGCGCCCGTAGCAGAACGTAAAATTCGTGACCCGGCCACCTCTATTATAGCTAACTTTGTTAGATAAGAGCACTCTTGCAATCCACTCTCTATATGTGCGCTACTTATCGGCCGTTTCAGTTTTCGCAAGAGAAACTGCTCCGTCAATTATGGAACTTTCATCGGAGGTGGATTTCGCTGAACCCGGATGTAATATGTATATTTCAAATTAAATGTATAAACCTTTTAATATTAAGCTGAAGTACGCGCTAATCTTAGGAACTACCGGTCTGAATTGATATAAATGTACTAAGTTAACTAGCCAGCGAGCCAATTTATTAAGGGATTGGCTAGAAAACCAAAAAGTCCAACATTGCAATAACTGAAGAGAATTGATTATTTAATGGGAGCTCCTAGTGGCAATCAAGAAATTCAAGTATGGCTGAAAAAATACAACAAAAACCAAGAATTTAATGTATTTTAATTGTGCACTTGCCCATTTTCTCAATGAGTTTTCCCGGAATAATGTGAAAATGACATAGAAAGTTAGGCTAATGTATTAGATAAACGATGACGTCTATAAAATAGGGCTAACAGACCACACGGAAGAGCTAAGTAAGAATGTTAATTCATTAATTAATTGTAATGTATTACAATATATCACAAGTTATTAGTCTAACAATTACATGTAACAGACATAAGAAACAAGTACTAGAGCATATAAGGGTTGGTACAATAATGAAGTTAACTCTAATGAAGCGAAATATAAAGAAAAAACGAGTGAAGCATAGTAAGATTGTGACGGCGGCACCTGTTGATATTGCAACAGCACGCATTGCAAGGGTAAAATAAAACTGGAACGAATGTCTTTTCATGCAACGCTCGGCGTTACATTAAAATTTAAAAGTGAATTCAAAAGGGCCTAGATATAAGTAGAGCAGATAGTGTGTCGTTTCGCCTCATGCTAATACTATTGTATCTTACCCTAGTAATATTATCAATATAAAACTTTTGAGGGTTTTTGAAACAGAACCTACAAGTACCTGACTTTGATTCCTTATCAATTAATTAACAGTAATGTTTAGATACTGATTAGTGCGAATAAAGGAATAAAATTAGATATTTAGTATACGGGAATAAATCACTAAATAAATCATATAACGGTTTAACGAAACATCGGGCCGCAGTTAAAATAATGTTCCAATAAGTTTAACTAATATATATCGCGTTTTAAACCGTTAGTGTTTTATTTAAATACAATTTTATTGAATTTAATCAAACACTTTTATGGTATATAAGGATAGCTAGGATATTAAACAAAGAAATTCTATCAACACACTAAACAAACGTCGGTACAAGATTATCAATACAATACTTC